AGTTCAAGGCAGCAGTGAGCCGAGATTGTGCCACTGTGTTCCAGCTTGGGTGGCAGAAGAGGACCCTGTCTCCAAAAAAAGAAAAAAAGTAGAACATTTCCATGTATACTTTGTATAGGCTGATTCCATTGTAGAGCTAAATTATCAAAACTGTTTATAGATAATAGATATTATAATATGAAAGGAATGCCCAAGGTTTATAGCCTTGGATATAATATTGAAATATATAGAGTTGTTTGGTATTTAACACTTCCCTTCTATCAAGTAGTTTTCCACTTGGGAAAAAAAAAAGAAACTTCCTGAAGAGGTATCCAATTTTATATCTTAGTAACGGTTTCCTAAACTTGCTGTTTACAACATGATTTACCTATCTAAAGTAAAATCAATGGTAAATGTTGAATAACAAGTGGACTCTTGAAAATATTTAGTAATCACAACTGAAACTGAATTCATTCTATGACTTAAATGATTATAATTTATCAAATATTTATATCCAAGAAATAGTATCTTAACCTGTAAGCCAAGAATGTGTGTTTTAGAGGTTAATTTACACATAATATACACCATGTGATTGCAGCATTTTATGCAAATTAAAAATATAATACTATAGATAATAACTCACTTTATATGAGAAATCTATCTAAAGGAGTGAAAAAATGTTTAAATCATCACGAATGATGTAAGGTCAAGATGTGAGGCAAAGTGAGTTGTAACCCATATTTAAGCTATTGTTACACACTTCAGCTGGTCAAGCAGAAATATTTGTCCTCCTTTATCAAAAAGAGTACCGAGGCCAGGCGCAGTGGCTCATGCCTGTAATCCCAACACTTTGGGAGGCTGAGGCGGGCGGATCCCAAGGTCAGGAGTTCGAGACTATACTGGCTAACAGAGTGAAACCCTGTCTCTACTAAAAAAAAAAAAAAAAAAAATACAAAATATACAAAAAATTAGCCGGGTGTGGTGGCATGTGCCTGTAGTCCCAGCTACTCGGGAGGCTGAGGCAGGAGAATCGCTTGAACCTGGGAGGTAGAGGTTGTAGTGAGCCCAGATCGCGCCACTGCACTCCAGTCTGGGCGACAGATTGAGACTCTGTCTCAAAAAAAAAAGAGTATTGGATTAGACAAGGTCTTCAAAAACATATCTTTCTTGGGCGGACATGGTGGCTCATGCCTGTAATCCTAGCACTTTGGGAAGTTGAGGCAGGCTGATCACTTGAGGTTCAAGTTCAAGACCAGCCTGGGCAACATGGTGAAACTCCGTCTCTACTAAAAATACAAAAATTAGCCAGGTGTGGTGGCACAGGCCTGTAATCCCAGCTACTCAGGAGGCTGAGGCACTAGAATTGCTTGAACCCAGGAGGCAGAGGTTGCAGTGAGCTGAGATCGTGCCACTGCACTCCAGCCTGGGCGACAAAGTGAGATTCTGCTCAAATGAAAAGAAAAGATAAAAACCAACCCTGTATCTTTCTTGTGTAATGTGACCATTCTGTGTTACTTGCCATAAATTACATTGCATAATATGTTTAATTCCCTAAAAAGAAATTAGTTCTGGTGCTGACTTCCACAGCACATATAGTAAAATTGGAATGATACAGAGATTAGCATGACTCCTGCACGAGGATGACACACAAATTAGTGAAGCGTTCCATATTAAAATAAAGTAAAAAGAAGAAATAAAACACTTTAAAAAAAGAAATTAGCTCTAAGTCATGCATATTTACAGAAAGAAACTGTTAGGTCCGTGGGAAAGTCTGACCTGTAACCTGCTGTTTCCCAGGCCGTCAAACTCCGTTTGGAGGGTCAAGCATGAATCTTGCCATACGTTATTTTCTGTTTTCTTTTTCAAAGATTTTCTTTTCTGTTTTTGAGACGGAGTTTTGCTATTGTTAACCAGGCTGGAGTGCAATGGCATGATCTCGACTCACCACAACCTCCACTTCCCGGGTTCAATCGATTCTCCTGCCTCAGCCTCCCGAGTAGCTGGGATTACAGGCATGTGTCACCACGCCCGGCTTATTATTATTATTATTTGTATTTTGTATTTTTAGTGGAGACAGAGTTTCTCCATGTTGGTCAGGCTGGTCTTGAACTCCCAACCTCAGGTGATTCGCCTGCCCCGGCCTCCCAGAGTGCTGGGATTACAGGCGAGAGCCACTGCGCCAGGCCTAAGATTTTCTTAATTAATTACTTTATTTATTTATTTTTTATTTTTGAGATGGAGTCTCACTCTGTCGCCCTCAGGCTGGAGTGCATTGGCGCGATCTCGGCTCACTGCAAGCTCCGCCTCCTGGGTTGACGCCATTCTCAGCAGAGACGGGGTTTCACCATGTTAGCCAGGATGGTCTCTATCTCCTGACCTGGTGATCCGCCCGCCTGGGCCTCCCAAAGTGCTGAGATTACAGGCGTGAGGCACCGCACCCGACCTGATTTTCTAATTTATAAATTAGAGCCCCCAGGCATGGGGGCTTGTGTGTAATCCCAGCATTTTGGGAGGCCGAGGTGGGCAGATCACTTGAAGTCAGGAGTTCGAGACCAGCCTGGCCAACATGGTGAAACCTCGTCTCTACTAAAAACATTTAAAAAATTAGCCAGACGCGGTGGTGGGCGCCCGTACTCGGGAGGCTAAAGTAGAAGAATTGCTTGAACCCGGGACAGGAAGGTTGCAGTGAGCCCAGATCGTGCCACTACACTCCTGCCTGGGGAACAGAGGGAGACTTTATCAAAAAATTTTACAAATGAAACTATGCACTATTTTCTTAGGCTTTTTGTTGAAGCTCCAGTTCTCCCATGTTTACTTACCACATTTTAAAAATAGGTAGGAAAAATAATTTTTATCAGTGCTTGTCTTTTTTGTTGTTGTTGTTGTTGTTGAGACGGAGTCTCGCTCTGTCACCTAGGCTGGAGTGCAGTGGCACGATCTCAGCTCACTGCCAACCTCTGCCTCCCGGGTTCACGCCATTCTCCTGCCTCAGCCTCCCGACTAGCTGGGACTACAGGCGCCCGCCACCAAGCCCGGCTAATTTTTATTGTATTTTTAGTAGAGATGGGGTGTCACCATGTTAGCCAGAATGGTCTCGATCTCCTGACCTCGTGATCCGCCCGTCTTGGCCTCCCAAAGTGCTGGAATTACAGGCCTGAGCCACCGCGCCGGGCAATCAGTGCTTGTCTTAACCAGTACAGAACAGCAAATCTTCTTTTAAACTAAACTTACAGCACTTCAAAAAGTTTGGGAAGTAAGAATAACCTCAAGCCAATCGGATATTTTACATAATTGCGATTTTGTATTAAAATGTAAGAGATGTAAAGGATAATTTCAGTACCAAAGATAAAAATTATTTGTTTAATACTAATTTTAATGACTCCAACAATATTAGCTTTAAAAAGCTATGCTTAAATAGTAATAATGAGCCTTGAATCATTCTCTCAAACATCACTTCTGGCAGAAATGAATTATATAGTACTGACTTTCATGGTTTAAGGGAAAATAAGAGTTTTAGAAAAATACTCATCTTTTCTAATTAAAAAAAAAAAATCCCATGTTGTGATTCCCCCACTGCTAGTCTCATTTGTTTGTTTGTTTGTTTGTTTGTTTGAGAGGGAGTCTTGCCCTGTCGTGAGGCTGCTGGAGTGCAGCTGGAGTGCAGTGACACCATCTTGGTTCACTGCAATCTCTGCCTCCCGGATTCAAGCAATTCTCCTGCCTCAGCCTCCCAAGTAGCTGGGACTGCAGGCACACACCACCATGACCAGCTAATTTTTTTTTGTATTTTTAGTAGAGACAGGGTTTCACCATGTTGGTCAGGATGGTCTCGATCTCTTGACCTCATGATCCGCCCGCCCCGGCCTCCCAAAGTGCTGGGATTACAGGTTTGAGCCACTGTGCCTGGCCGCTAATCACATTTTAAAAGGCCCAAACCCAAATGAGTTTTGTCATTTTATACTAGGAAACTCAAATGATTTTGCTTCTTTATTCTTCAAGATTACTCATCCAGACACTGATAGGCCTGAGCACGGGTTCATTCAAACTAGAGGCTATCACAGGCGGTCATTTGGAAAGCTACTATATACTTAACAAATGTGAAATGTTAGGCTGGGCTCAGTGGCTCATGCCTATAATCCCAACACTTTGGGAGGCCGAGGCAGGTGGATCACCTGAGGTCAGGAGTTTGAGACCAGTCTGGCCAATACGGCAAAACCCCGTCGCTACTAAAAATACAAAAATTGGCCGGGCATGGCGGTGTGTGCCTGAAATCCCAGCTGCTTGGGAGGCTGAGGCAGGAGAATAGCTTGAACCTGGGAGGTGGAGGCTGCAGTGAGCTGCCTGGGCAAAAGAGCGAGACTCCATCTTAAAAAAAAAAAAAAAAAAAGGTGAAATATAATACTCTTCTGTATTTTTTATACCTCCAAGCCCAAGCAGGAATCCTTAAAGCAAATTAGACTTCCACAGGCAAATTCTTTATCCTAGTGAATCTGGATCTACCAGATAACTATAGAATCCTCTAAACTCCAAAGCCTTGGTCAGCCTACCAGTACCACCAGCATCAGTGGGAGCTCATCAAAAATGCAGAATCTCAGGTCCCACCCCACACCTCATGAATCCAAATCTGCCCTTTATACTGAGATCTCCAGGTAATTTGAATGCATATTAAAGTTTGAAAAGAACTGATCTCATGAAATCTTACAGCTAACGCAGAGACCTAGGAGAACAACACTGTGCAAAAATTGAAAAGAACTTCTGTAAAATGCTGGGGGCAAGAAAATAAAGAAAAAAAAAAGAGTGCCTTTCATATATCATTTCCTTAATACATTTCATTTTTCTTTTTTATGCCTTGTTTTGAAAAGCCACCATTATCTTGGCATGCTTTAGATGGAAACCATTTACTGTGCAAGATTTCTGTTCATGTTCTTAAATGTATGCAAAAATAACTTGTCTAACCCCTACTCCTGTGCCTGGCCCTTTGAAATGTGTTTCTTGCTGACGTGCTTATTTCTCCTTTCCAGTCCTGACACAGCTCTCCCCGAGGAGCAGCCACATTCCAGCTCCCAGTGCGCCCCTCTCCACTGTCTCTCCAAGCCTCCTCACCCCTAGTCTTCATCTCCTGTGGACGAACATCTGGGGTGGAAGTTTTGTAGCCACACACAGGATACTGCCCAAGATCCAGCGGGTGTTTTCTTCTCAGTTGTTAGATGTACAATTGGATTAATGTCCATCATTTTGGAAGACGAGAGAAAATTGAGAAGAACACGAAGCACAGACCCTGATGTGATAAAACATTTTGTGGTTTCTCTGAGTCACAGATAAACTTCTGCCATCAAATGGCTACAGTTCATTTAAGTTTAAAAAAAAGAAAAGAGAAACAGGAAACATGTCTCAGATGGCTGGCTTTACCTCGATAGCATAAGAGAGACCTAAGACACGTAAAATACATATATTGTAATATCATCTTTCCTCACACTCCAAATTCAGCTAGGGAAGTTGATTCCAATATTTTTGTCATTGATATTTATTTTGTACTTTGTTTGCCACATGATTTATGTCTATAAAAATAATTTCTCTGAAGTGAATTTAATTCATTTATTTTCAAATAAGCATAATTTGCTCAATTAAGTATGAGTTTGAATTTAGTTTGAAATCTGGAATTGGCCAGACTGTGGTCATTTTTCTTGCACAAAATGATAAATGAGGTGCATCAGAATGTTAACAATAACTGTATTTTGCTGCTACGCTGGTATTGTTTATGCACTTATTTTCTAATCAGTAGCTTATTAACTGCTGGGTTTTGTTTTTGTATTTTTAACTAGAGTTCTTCACTGGACATTACTAAGTAAATCTAAGAAAGAGACTAAGTTATGATTTATTGACTTATTCAAGTTTTGATGGCATCTTTTATTTTTTCATCGCAGTTGAGTAGATGTACTGGTGCTGCTCCTTTGTATGTGTGTATGTGTGTGATAACGTTAAAGAAGGCTCAATAACTTGAAGGGAAAAAAATGGTGTGTTTATTTAACGACCAGGATTTTTTTTACTTCTCCCAAAATCAGGGTCCTACTGAGTCTTTCCTGATAAAAGGTATCAAGTACAAATAGGAAAATATATACATACATAGATGTAAGATAGCCTTTAATTAATTAATTTACCCAGAGAGTGTTCAAAGTTTGATTAAAATTGTATGTTTTGTTGTTGTTAGGTTTTTTCATAACGAATCTTCCTTGCCAAAAAACAATAGATAATAAACCTTAGCTCATTGTCTACTTTTGACAAACACTCAGGTGCCTACAAACATTCTATTATCTTGAGATAGTACATGTTCCTGGTTAATTTACAGATTCTGCTGGGTAACTTTTATGACTTCATTTAAGGCAGTGGATTTTCATAGCAAAATTTATTTTGCACATAATCTGACAAACAAGGAAAACAGCTAACTGAGCTGAAAGGTCTAACACTCTTGGGCTCCTTAACCATCAAGTGCTGCCCACACAATTGCTCCTAGCCCTGATTCCTTGTCTTTGTCAGGTAGCCTTAACTTATTTAAAACCATAAGGGTTTACCTTTTCATGTAAAGACATCTGTAACTTCTCTTCAAAACAAAAATGACCCTCACTGTTAACACAAAGGATAGTTACCAGTGTAGGGCACTGAGAAAGGAGATCCAGGAGCCACTCAGCTTACTGAGCGGACATGGGTGGCACAGAAATGGAGTGGTCCATCAGAGACCAAATAGTAAGTCATAAAGCACATTGCAGGAGCTTTTGTCAGTCATACACCTATTAAGTAGTGGTCGCTATTACCAAAGCAACCAGGACGTTTTGTGTTCTTTATATGAGTGCTATTTTCCACAGTGTCATTTATTATGCAACGTGGAGTAAAGAGTTGAATTCTTCACCAAAATAGGGATTCAGGTTAAGGTACAGAAACAGAAACAAAACGATTCGACACGAAGGTCCTAACCATAGCAGCCTAACCTTCCGCTCTTTTCTACCTGCATGGCCTTGCTGTTCCTAAACATTGTCTTCATTTCATTGGTGTTGTGTCTGTCTGGTACCAGTATTGGTGTGACTGTGGATTTTATCAGAGTTCAACGAAAGAAAGCTTACCCCTGCCCTCACTTTTTGTTTTTTTTATTTTTCCCCCTTTGTCAAGCACCATGTATTTGGACCTGACAAGTGGCATAGCTGCTAAGTTGACTTTTAATAAAAACTGTTTGTGCCTGAGGGAAATATATGCCTTTTTAAAACGTACCTCAGAACATGTTCCTATATCACTGCATCGGTTTTGTCTGGGGGACTGGGAGTTCAGCAGGAAGTACTGTGTCTGTGTGTGAGGACGGGGCAGTACTGCCGGTCGGCGATGTTGTGTTTGCATTCTTTATCCCTCACTCTGGATCTAGGACTCCATGAAAAGCCGGGTCACACACAAAACATGTATTTCTTCCAATACAAAGTGTATTATTATGTCTATTATAAACTAGTTTCATTTCAGTTATTTATCTTCATAGAGTGGGAAAGGCTTGTTCTGAAATACTAATTCTATGAAAATAATAATTTTAGTGAATCTTTGCCAAGAAGTTATAGAAACTTGGAAATAAATTTCTCATTTTCAGCACAAAATTAAGTGATAGTCCCTAAGATGTAAGAGAGAATAACATGTATTTACACTGTGGCATCATTTAGTATAGTTTAAACTGAGCCATATCTCTATTTATTTATAGGCATTTAAAATGAATCAATATGTGTAGTGTTGATAAAAATCAGTATCTGTAAAGATAACATCAGGAATTCAAAAGGAAATTGAAAAGTGGAAGAACTAGTGAGAACCGAAAAGAATGAACCTCTTTAAAACTGATTGAAGACATACTTGGAGAGGAAAAATAAACAGCAGAAATACACTAAAAAATACTGGCTAATTATTGCAAACACAGTGAGCAAAGATTAATGCTAACTAAGTAAAAGTAGTTGGCAAAGTAAACAGGTAGTTTTTTAAAAGTAAGCACAATTACAATATTGAAAAGAATAGTATGGAGAAATGCTTTTCTCCTGAGGATTTTCCTTAATCAAAAAATAAGAAGCAGCAATAAATTGTCTTTGGCCTGAGTGCTGAGTCGCATAAATAAAGGAGCTTGGCTTGATCTTTCTCATCCACACATAATCCATTAGATCCCATTCATATATCCAATTCTGGATTCTAATAAAAGGAATTTGGAGAATTTGAGAAAAAGGAAAATTGTTAAATAAGAGAAGACCTATTTAGAAATTATACTTTAGTCTAACCAAGAGGAGGTACAATAGTGGTCTTCAAGAAAAGAACATTTAACAAATGATAGATATCAGCTAAGATATTGTTACTAAGTCTAGAATGAAAAAGGCTTCAGTGTGAAGGATGTATAGTAACTCTAGGAAAGAGATTTTTAACACTGGGAAATTAACATGGAAATTGATAATCATAAGGAATAGTTGTTTTTTAAAAATTGAATATCATTGGTGGTCTAGTAAGTATTAAGTGGCAAGATAGGAGAATGCATTTCAGTTCTGGGAGCTCATAATCCTGTGATTCTTTTAAGTTTTAAGATACGTTAAAGTTTTACTGGTTAATCATAAAATATTTTGTATTTGAAAATAGGATGGCAATCTTAATTTTCCAAGATACTGGTTGGAAAAAAAGAAGGATTGTTGGTATTATTTTTTCTTCCAGCTATATTCTATGGTATCTTTAAAATTGTTCAGAATATAGTACTTTTACTAAAAAACTTCAATTGTCGGAGTCTAGAAAACAATGTCCTCAGGAATACTTCAGAAATAGAAGGTATGCAGTCCCTCAGTGGGGGCAAATGCATTTCAGATTTTGTCTTTATTTAGAAGGATCTTCAGTCTACAACATTTGCTTTTTCGTGCTTTGGGAAATATCCTTGTGCAGAGAAGTCCTTCTGTTTGAAACAAGCATGAAACAGTGGTCCAATAACCTAAGAATATGGACATTTCTTGATATTCTGTATTAATTAAAGTTCTCTACATGTCTCAAATGGAGATCACAAAACATGAAAAGGAAGAAATGAAATACCTTTTCTTCTGGGATGAGTGTCAATTTTAATGTATAATTGTCATAATCAGTCAAAAGTTACAATCTGTCCCTCAGCGACATCGGGGGAAGCTGATGGATTTCCAGTAAGGAGCTGTGGTGGGTTCAACCTCAGGCTGCCACAAATACATTGATATGGTAGGTAGGAAGTAGGACTACATTTGAAAGAAACTTATAGGATAAAGTTCACAATTTAAAAAGGTTGCCCTCCAGTTTTTTTGTTTGTTTATAAACTAGAGTGATTTTAAGTAATCCTTACATTTAAGGCTGCAAAAAATGTACAAGAATATGTTTTCAAGTAAAGGGAACATAATTCTTCAAAAAGCTGTTGAACTGGAGTTATGATAGGTTATGACAGATAGCATGATCAGTGCTGATACTGACAAGTACTTTTTTATCTTAAATCAACTTCTATGGAACTACAAGATCAATCTAGCTCCCGAGTGACCTTTTCCATTGTCTGTAATAATGCCCTCGGATGAGTTGTGTCTAAAATTAAGTTCATCTTTATTTATATGCCAACTTAACTGCCAGAGTCCCTAATGTATTGCATTTGTAACCTGATCCTATTATGTTAATACCTGAAAGATTTCATCTAGACATGTCTTTCGTCCGTATTATTCAAAGTGTAATTGAAAGAGATATTTAGTATGTTCCCCAACTGAGAATTTTCCAGAATATTCTACTTAAGAAGAAGAAGAGCAATTAACTGCCTTTAGTGTAAGGGCGAGAGTGCATAGAAATATGCAATGTAAAATGTTTGCATGAATTATTTCACATCATGTAAGCTTTCCCATATTCATAAGATGAACACTATAGAAGTCTCATTTCTGTGTGATCTTCTGTCCATTAGGAGTGTAAGGAGATTGTTATCTATATCTAGTCTCCTTTCCATATTGAAATGCATGGCTCTAATCCTTGGTGTATTTTTATCCCTTACTTCTCGAGTTATTTAAAATTTGCCCTATTTAAACTGAAGCCTGGATAAACTGCTGAGCCAGATTATTCCTGTGATTGGAATTTAATTGCTGTAGAACACTCGTTGAGAACATATTTTTTACTTTTTTTCTTTCAGAATTATTATTCGATCATTTTCTCTAACGAAAACACTGAGAAGTAAATCTGGTGCTTCTTAGTGTAAATATGTTTTTCTTTTTAAAAAATTATTTTAAAACAAAGATGAGAGAACTATAAAGTAAGGGGAAATATCATTTTATTTAAAAATAATTATTCAGTGATAGATAATGGAGATATAGAATGAACCATTGGGTTCATAGGTATGATTTATGCAGCCAATCTTAGAGGAAATACATCATTTTAACATTATTCCCACGAAATGTTTAAGCTCCATGGTTTGACTATGAGAGTCAAACAATTATAATTTGAAAATCTCATGACATTTTTATAATCTACTCTGTTTTTATTTGCATGATTATGCTTACGTGATGAACCATCCATGATTCTGATGCTGTATTTCTTTCCAGTATTAACATGTGTATTGTGTGGCCAACCTTGATTTGTACACTGTAGTATTGTTGTAATGATTCAACTGTTCCTACATTTAATTGCAGTTTTATTATTATGCCTTTTGGGGTTAAATGATGTGAAGTGTTTCCACCTACTGATAAATACCATATGAAAACGTGACTAAAAAACTGATCTAAGAAACTTTTTTGTTGTTATTTTTAAAAATATGAATTTCAAAAGAAATGTTCTCAAAGACACATGCATTTGTTTTAAATTCAAAAAATTCTTACGAATTTATTATTGCTTGTACTTTAACTTTTTTTATTGTAGACAATCCTAAGTGAATAATGTCTCATGGGAGAATCCACATAATATGTGCTTGTATTTGTGTAATCTGATCATGCACTCAATGGTTGGAAAAGGCACTCCAGTGCTAAGAAAATAACCAGAAGCCAATATGTCGATACTTATATCTTGGTTTATGTTACCAACTGCATATGGTGTAATGCATAACTTTTTCCAGTAAATAAACTGGTTATTTTTTGTTCATTTCATTAATGCTGCCTTTTTATCAATTTGAGCAGTTTTTCTGTATGTCGTTTTGATGTATACTTACAAAAAGGATAAGAGTATATGAATTCAGATATGATCTACATGTTTATTTAAAGTGAGGACTTATTTGAACTAAAAATTAAATTCTTTGCTTTAACAACAATTCTTTTTTTTTTTTTTTTTTTTGATACGGAGTCTTTGCTCTGTCACCCAGGCTGGAGTGCAGTGGTGCGATCTCGGCTCACTGCAAGCTCCGCCTCCCGGGTTCACACCATTCTCCTGCCTCAGCCTCCCGAGTAGCTGGGACTACAGGCGCCTGCTACCATGCCTGGCTAATTTTTTGTATTTTTTAGTAGAGACGGGGTTTCACCGTGTTAGCCAGGATGGTCTCGATCTCCTGACCTTGTGATCCGTCCGTCTCGGCCTCCCAAAGTGCTGGAATTACAGGCGTGAGCCACCGCGCCCGGCCTTAACAACAATTCTATACGTCCTGATAAGTAATGTGCATCAACTCTGCTCATTCCCTCCAGTTATCGCCTCTTCTACTTGTAATCTTTTCTAGAAAGCTATTTTGGCAGGAGGATATACTTGGCTGAATTCGATTAGAAATGTAGCAACATGAAGAAAATGCTTGTTCTAAAACAGGAAACATTATTTTGATGAAAGAAGAATGAAGTTTGTATGCATTATTTTGGGAGACAATTTGTCTTTGTTCTCTTTCCTCTTTGTTCTTTTTGTAACAGCAGAGTTCCAAAACTTTGAGGGAGGTTAATTGACTAGCTCCTCCTACAAATACATATTGTAGTAAATCAGCTGCTTTGGGAACCATCCACTTTGATTGATTTTATTTAAAGGGTGGAGGAGGGAGAGAGCCAGATAGAATATGGCATTCTAGTGAGTTAAAATATCTAACGCAGGTCGGGCGCGGTGGCTCAGGCCTGTAATCCCAGCACTTTGGGAGGCTGAGACGGGCGGATCACAAGGTCAGGAGATCGAGACCATCCTCGCTAACGCGGTGAAACCCCGTCTCTACTAAAAAATACAAAAAAACTATCTGGGCGAGGTGGCAGGCGCCTGTGGTCCCAGCTACTTGGGAGGCTGAGGCAGGAGAATGGCGTGAACCCCGGAGGCGGAGCTTGCAATGAGCTGAGATCCGGCCACTGCACTCCAGCCTGGGCGACAGAGCGAGACTTTCCGTCTCAAAAAAAAAAAAAAAATCTAACGCAATCATTATAGCTAATCAAATTCATGCCACACGGGCAGCCAACATCCTGGCTAAAGTTGTCTGCTCACCTGCTACATAAATATAGCACTAGAAATAATGTCAACTTTTCTACAAATCTCTCCTTTTTCTCTTCCAAAAGAACTATTGTTTTTCTCTGAGGTTGGATCTATAAGTCTGTTTGATGCTTGACTTTCTCTTACATGATAAAGCTGATAGTCTGTCACATTCAAAAGCAAGAACAGCTGGATGCATCAAGAGAGTCTCCTCTTATCTATGTGTTTTGCAGGCAACTTGGGCAGCCTATATTGTGAAGGCATTGGGAGGATTCCTGCAACCCATAAGAGATGAGAAAGAGATCAGAATTGGTGGGAACTTGAGGGAGTCTTGCTCTGTCACCCAGGCTGGAGCGCAGTGGCGCGATCTTGGCTCACTGCAACCTCCGACTCCCTGGTTCAAGCTATTCTCCTGCCTCAGCCTCCTGAGTAGCTGGGGTTACAGGCACGTACTACCGTGCCCAGCTAATTTTTGTTTTTTTAGTAGAGATGGGGTATCACCATGTTGGCCAGGATGGTCTTGATCTCCTGACCTCATGATCTGCTCGCCTCAGCCTCCCAAAGTGCTGGGATTACAGGCGTGAGCCACCACACCCGGCCGAATTTTCTTTTTTTTCTTCCTTTTGAAACATGGCCTCACTCTGCCACCCAGGCAGGAGTGCAGTGGCATGATCTTGGCTCATTGCAGCCTCTACCTCCTGGGCTCAAACGATTCTGCCACCTCAGCCTCCTAAGTAGCTGGGATCACAGGCATGTACCACCATGCCTGGCTCATTGTTTAATTTTTTTTTGTACAGATAGGTCCCACTATGTTGCCTAGGCTGGTCTTGAGCTCCTGGGCTCAAGTAATTCTCTCACCTGAGACTCTGAAAGTGTTGTAATTACAGGCATGAGCCACATCGCCCAGCCAGGAAAGGATTTTCTTAGTTTTTGGTTGTACACATGCTGACTAGTACATTGTAGGAACTCAGTCAATTTTGAATTAGAGTAGTTGTTCCTGAGAAGTGAGTTTCTTGGCTTTCTTGATATCTAGCTTTCTCATAAGACATCCAGAATTGAGTTTACAGAACCTAATGTCACCTACTTAAATAATTACGGCAAGCACTACATATCGACTAATTGGGGGAAATGGCCTTTAAATTAAGTGAATGCTTATTCCTATCATTCTTTCTTAGTGAATCTAAAAACTGGATCTCTAACACTGTAACAGGAGGCTAAGTATGTACGATGAAATAATCTAAGAGTTGTTCTTCTTTTGTGTGTGTGTGACAAGATCTTGCTGTGTTGCCCAGGCTGGAGTGCACTGGCGAGATCACAGTTCACTGCAGCCCTGACCTCATAGGCTCAAGTGATCCTCCCACTGCAGCCTCTTAAGTAGCTAGGACCACAGGTGCACACCATCATGCCTGGCTAATTTTTTATTTTTTGTAAAGATGAGGTCTTCCTATGTTGCCCAGTCTGGTTTCAAAGCCCTAGACTCAAGCGATGCTCCTGCCACGGCCTCTCAAAGTGCTGGGATTACACAGGTATGAGCCACCATGCCCAATTGAGTTTTTTAAACAATCTATGAATCAACTACACTTAAATGCTTTAGAAGACCGTCAGAATAATTAATCCACAAAATAACTGTCAAGGAAGATAAATCTCTGGGAAAAATATTGCCAGTGTCAAAAGTAAAAAATTTATAATATAATTTGAATGTAGGAAGCAACGTAAAGGTAAATCATAACTATATTGGCTTCTTGTTAAATAGTAAAGAAACGTTAAAGTAAGAATATCTTGTTTTCTTCTTTTTTTTTTTGAGACAGAGTCTCGCACTGTTTCCTAGGCTGGAGTGCAGTGGCGTGATCTCAGTTCACTGCAAGCTCCGCCTCCTGGGTTCACACCATTCTCCTGCCTCAGCCTCCCCAGTAGCTGGGACTACAGGTGCCCACCACCACACCTGGCTAATTTTTTTTTTATTTTTAGTAGAAATGGGGTTTCACCATGTTAGCCAGGATGGTGTTGATCTCCTGACCTCGTGATCTGCCCACCTCGGCCTCCTGAAGTGCTGGGATTATAGGCGTTAGCCACTGTGCCCAGCCTTTTTTTTTTTTTTTAAGATTTATTTATTTAGTTAGTTTTTAGTTTCACTTTTGTTGCTCAGGCTGGAGTACAGTGGGGCGATCTTAGCTCACTGCAACCTCCACCTCCCAAGTTCAAGTGATTCTCCTACCTCGGCCTCTGGAGTAGCTGGGATTACCACCATGCCTGGTTAATTTTTTGTATTTTTAGTAAAGATGGGGTTTCACCATGTTGGCCAGCCTGGTCCTGAACTCCTGATGTCAGATGATCCACCCTCCTTGACCTCGGAATACAGGTGTGAGCCACCACGCCCGGCCCCTCATTTTCCTTATTATCTATATCAGTAGGGGATAAAAGAAAGATAATTCAGTAAGTTAGCTTCTGTTACTACTGAAGTCAGGTGAAAGACTGTAAAAAGTAGGATAGACGTATGTTTCATATGCCAAGATGGGCTTGTCTATATAATTTGCTAGTCCCAATGCAAAATGAAAATGCAGTACTCCTTGATCAAAAAATGGAAAGAATTTCAAGACAGTGACAGTAATGCATTAGGTCAAGCATGGGGTCCTTTTAAGCACAGGGCCTTGTTTGACTGCAGGGATCTACAGGCCATGAAGTCAGCCTTGCCCCAGAATATGCTGAAATAATGATTCAGGATCTCAACACTGAATGTAGCTATTCAGAAACTGGGCTTTGTTGACCAGGCACTGTGGATCACGCCTGTAATCCCAGCACTTTGGGAGGCCAAAGCAGGTGGATCACGAGGTCAGGAGTTTGAGACCAGCCTGACTAAAATGGTGAAACCCCGTCTCTACTAAAAATACAAAAATTAGCTAGACTTGGTGGTGCGCGCCTGTAATCCCAGCTATTCAGGAGGTTGAGGCAGGAGAACAGCTTAACCCGGGAAGCAGAGGTTGCAGTGAGCCGAGATTGTACCACTGTGCTCCAGCCTGGGCGACAGAGCAAGACACTATCTCAAAAATTTTAAAAATTTTAAAAATATATATATGTGTGTGTGTGTGTGTGGAAACTGGGCTTTGTTTGTAACAAAATAGATTTCTAAGTTTCTGTGCTTGGAAGGAAAAATATTAATGTGTTTATGTCCTGGGGAAAAATATTTAATGCTAATATATCAAAGAGATCTAAAGTTGAATCTTGCAATACTTCCATATTCCAATGAAGCCATAACATGTCAACTCAAAATTTCTAAACCCTGACACGTGTATCAAGTCATACTAAGATTATAAAAATCTTTAAATCTTCAAAAAAGCAGCAGTAGACATTTTAATTAGTGTATATTAAAGTAAAACTAATTTAAGAACCCTACTGCTACTTTTATAGTTTGATGTCCTTTGAAGTTGTAAAGTATTAATAATGTCAGTCAAATGTCACAGGAAGGTTTGCCTAACTGAAAAGAGCTATTAGCCCAAGATTAATCAGTAATTCATGACAACCTTTATTCCAAATAAATCAAAAAAGAAATTATTTACCTCATTGAAATTCATTGATTTAGAATATATGGGTGCTTATGTGTAGTAAACCACCCTATATGTAAAAAGGGAAGAATATAAAAATATATATTAAGTTTTTCTTGTTTTGGATAAAGTAACAGTGGACACCAATAAAAATGGTTATCTGTAAAAGAGCAAAGGGTATGATAAAAG